TACTTATAATTTAAAAGTAGCACAGGTACGAAATCGGACAACCAGAGTGGTTCGTCATGTCATTTGCAACGTCGCTTATGGACTGAGCGAGCTTTTAAGGGTCTATGGATCCGGAATCAAGGTTTTCCGATTACGTAAACATATCTGCATGTATGCGAAAAAAAGATATTCTTGACGCTGGATATGTGTGATTTTTTTTCAAATTGGATTAAACAGACGGTTTACGATAATAGATAGTGGTCTGTGCGAATAACAGAGTGTCCGAGTATTTTCGCACCAGTGATTGTTGTGGTAGTCGAAATTAATTTCACGAATACGTCTAGAGCATCAAGCGACGCCACCAAAAACCCATTATTGATTGTGTTGTTGTGCATTGAGATGTCAACTGCAGGACACACAATGAAAATTCGAATGACTCATATTATGATGCCACTAAAACTTAAACAAAATTGACATAAATAAATCAGAGGATTGAAAAATGAAGTGATGTGGGTAGGTTTGTAAGTGCACGTTACCAGATAGTCGAGCGTGATAGTGTCCACGGAGGTGACAAGCGCCTTTGTCAGTAGAGCAGCGCGCACTAGTTCAGAGACGAAAGTATTAAATACTTGAACTAAGGAAGCTTCAAGTATTTTGGAGACTTTAGGTCGAATCCATCTCCGAAATGCTACTTAAGTAATGATTGAGTAGTAAATAGTGCTGGGTCACGTTCATCAACTCAGTCGCTGCCTTCTCCAGCACACCGCCTTCTTAGCACGGCGTGCCCATCAGTCATGTGAAACCGTCTGCTCATGCACCTCCGTGCATGTACCCCCCATCATACTCGTTTCAGTCATGTGCACTTCTACCAGTTCATCCCAACTGTTTTGGTCAAAAACCTCAGGAGTAATGCGCGACTTTGAATAGACACGACGACACAACTACATTGGGCCATCTAATATGCGGTTGTACCTGCACCATCTCTAGATCATCCACAGACATTACAATGCGGTGGCTCCGGTGTGGTTAACGACCACACGCCGGGTTCTTCAACAGTTGGTGACTCCGGCTTTGAACGCATTTGACCTTCTAAGAGCTGGCAATTGGCGATTTTCCTCTACGATCTACATGACGTGGTGATTCTGTGTCTTGCGCCCTACTGGAAAAAATTCACCCCTTAAGCCTTCTACTCTCATTCACGTTGCGACAAGCAATTTGTTTAAATCAACCGCGCCCACCTCTAGGTCTCTCTCCCTCTTCGCTTAAGCTCACTTTAACTCTGTACTCATTTGTATCAACCTGTCTTTATCTTTTACAGTCCTCCTTTCTCAATCAGGCTTCGTCCCTCAACTTATGCTTAGTTCTACCGTCAAAATTTTCTTGAATGGTGGAAAATATCCTCAGGCATATGCTGACGACGCCCAATCATATTTGATCTCTCCCAGTGACGACTAATCGCCTCCCCTTACCATACTTGCAATCAACGGTTCAGGTAGACGTTTAGACAGTCTCTGGGCGACTAACATCTCCTCCCGGAGACGACTGATGGCTTCGCATTGCGCCTTATTTCTGGTTCTGAATCTTCTTTCCTTGTCCAACTTGGCCTCAGCGCTTAAAGTCCGTCTTTCCGACCTAGACTTTCGACACTAGCCTGGCAGATACATTTAGACCAACCTCTCTTTTCTCGTGTTCTTTTTCGACCCTCGAATCGATCGAAACGCCTTAACTGTCTCACGTTAGCAGCCAGGTCTTACGCGCCCCTTTTAATTACGATCGACCTTAAGGAAAAGGATGTATCGCCAGCAGCAAATCACCTCAAACGTTTTCCGCCATCTCCAGACGACAAATATCAGCCTCGTTTCAACCTACCGCATTTAAGCTTCACGAAGGCTGCGTATCGACTGGACTAAATCCATTGTCTGGCCTTCAGTATTCCAAGTGAAGGAAAGGATTCGCCTGTACACTTCGAAAAGGGGGAGAGCTGTAGTGAATTTCGTTGATCAAGCAGTTTTTCAAAGAGGTGAACATACTTTTGAAAATTTTGTTACGATAGTTTTGTCGCTACTATAGCCGTTGAATTCGACCAAAGTATAAACAAACGTCACCGCCCACAAAATGAGAATAAACAGTCCTCTACACCAGCCATTTTGCCTCATCGATGTGCAAATCTCCAAGATGTACAATCTGATGGTTAAATAAAGTAAAATGCCTTAACTCCAATTCCTCTTAACATCGACAGTACACTGAATTGCATCCGTGGTCATTTTAAATGTCGGGTTTTTAATGCTGTGGTGAAGATGTTAGCTGAGCGGCCTTCAAAACTGATAATTGATAAACTGATGAAATGGACTTGTCTGCGACTATTCGAATTCACCTGTGGACTGTCGTTGCAACGCTAGCCACTTGGTTCCTGTGCGCGCATTTAATACATTAGATTCTGATCGTTAAATTTATTGCTGTAGTAATCGCTGGTTAGTAGTTTCTGTTCTTATGACATTGAGTAGGGACTGAGTCGTCCAAATTGGCAGAAAGTTCGCATGTGCGTGAGCGAAAATTTCCCATAAGATATGCGATCACCATCAAGGCATTGATCAAAACTGGCAAATTATACGTTTGCCCCTTCCCAGAACGTCTTATCTATCCACGGTGTCCGTTAAAATTTAGACTGAATGACCAATACAAAAAAAATGGACTAGAATCTTTCAAAATGTCAAAATGGTTATTGAAAAGGTCACAGAATCTTTCGAACTTTAATTCAAGATTCATTCAAGATTCAATTGTGAGTTGATTGTTTAAATTACTTTACTGATTTCTAAGACTGTCTTTCTTGCCAGAATATACTATAGAGTGGTAGCAGAGGTAAAACAGCACGTTAATTTGACTTTTACCTCGTTAGCAATTTCAAATTGCTAACGAGGTAATGGTGCTTTGCACAAATTTTGCAATCTTGACAAATATTAAGCCTTACTGAGGTCAAATTACCCCTTGTTGAGACAGCAACAAGTGTGAAATTGCTGTTTTTTAGCCACCCAATTGATGCACGGCTGTATCGAAGACTTAGTTGACCTGGCAGACACGAGCCATTGCCCGATGTCGTCCGCCAATGACAGCATTTAATCTGACAATATTCCTTCACAAGGTCCACCTCTACAGCTTCAGCTGGAGACGCTAGGACAATGCTGTAATTACTGATAGCATAATAAACCGGGAGATTTAGCTGAATTGTAACAATTGTAGATGCGGAAATTTGATGAAATCGTGGCGGGATGGTCCCGGATAGGCACTCCGCTGCGTCTCAAACATTGGAAACGCACTCACATTTTCCATCGATTAGCGTCTTGGGGTTATTCGACCACATTTCTGATGTCAATCAATCTTCAAACGGGTTCCTAGCATTTAGCAGTTGGTTCGGCATCAGCCATCCAGCCAGGATAACGTTTATGTACTGTTCGAAGTGATCTCACGTAAATGAACTCTAGGGGACTGTACCCGACGTCGCTTTATTTTTTTACAATGTTTGAAACACGCTTAAAACTAATGATGCCCAGCAAAAGATGCGTCTCTGTTCTCGCCAATATGTTAAACGCCAAATATGTCCTTGGCTTAAGAAGTTTAATTCAAGTAGCTTGAAGTCCAACCCAATTCATCTGGCCCTGGAACATTCCCCGAATCTAGTCGGAAGGTGGCTTGTGAATAGTTTGAATTTCGAACTTTGAACAAGGTAAGGTTGAATAGAAGACCCTAAGAATTCGCGTGTGGCCAATGCACATGAACGCTGACCACAGTCACTTTAGAATTTGGCAAATCTTCACAGCTGAAGCCATCTCTTTCAGTTGGTTTTCAGAAAATATCATGAAGCCTAAGTGGCCCTGCAGTGGACAGAAAGCTACCTTGCGTGAGTGATGCGTGCATGATGACCCGACCGTGCCAATGACACTCCTTTTGTTATTGGGTCCTGTTAGCGGTCGCTTGTTACGCATACGTACTCATACGCACACAATAGCACTTGGCTGGTGTAACACTAATGAACGGTAGTTTTTTCCTCTCGTCTCGTTTCCCCTCTTCTCGGGCTGTAACGGGCTGTTAACTAGAGGGTTGTGTGCTACTACAACCCAATCTCCAATGCAAATCCTAATTGAGGGCTACGCTTAGGTCATCTCATAAAGGATCTGTCACCTTACCTCTGAGGATCCAAAATTCTGTCCTTCTGTCCTTCTTACAATGCAGTCGGGACAGGTATCCCGTAATCCAGGGCCCGACGAAATTCCGTAATGGCGTCACTTTTTGACCTTGAAAGGGAGAGGCCCCATCCTTTGTCTCTACCATGACTCATCAACCCATAACACACCCCTGGAGGAAGCCAGACAAACGACGCGAAGCAAAAAAACAAGGCAATTGACGTCAATGCGTCGTGTCACACGGACCATTGGCAGTTTGACAAGTGTTTTGCTAAATCGTTTTGCCGTTTAAACCTTGCAAACCCGTGAAGTTGTAAAGTGTTTCTAAAATATGCCGTAATTTATCAGTCAAACTAAAAAAACCTTTGCCCAATCAAATCTCAGATTCTTAAGTCATAACAACGAGGTCTAAAATCTGATTTGAACCACGGTATTTCGTAAGGACATTAGACTTGAGAACAAACTTCAAGCATGTTCCGAGCTCATTTACTGGTACTTTACCGACTGCATAATGAATCTCAGGCACCAATTTACATTTCTTGACGGTCATAGTGTGTGTCAAAGGCACTCAAAATAACAACGCCGAATTCAACGAAACACTTTTGAGGAATGGGAAAACTGTCCATCTGTGGCCCGACAGACCTGGCCACAGGATTCAAATGCAGTCTCGACAGACGAGACGTTTGAAACACTGCTAAGCTCCTCACTGCAAATAAACAAAACAAATGCCACCCAGGATCAATAACTTCAAGGTCGACTGCCACACATTCCAAAAATCCACGTGTAACAAACGTGGAATTGCGCGGTGCTTGAATAACGTCAATAGCAAGGAACTAATCAAGGATGTATGTGTCGGAGATGCTTAATCTTAAGGCCAGGGGTCAGGAATTAAGCAAAAAGGACTACGACGATCTCGTCAATCATTTGTGTAAAAAAACAATTTCTGCAGTTCAACTGGGTAAGTTTCAACTGTTCTCTGGCACCAGAGAATTCGTCAGTAGGTAATAATACACTTGTCAAAACTACGTTGAAGAATAGTCCAGTAATTTTTGTGAGGAGATTTTAAAACATTTTAGCACTGTCCAAAAACCCTTACCTGGGTGGCGCAAATTAAACGGCTGTAACCGGCAATAATCCACTACACTAAGCATCGAGGTCAGCAACGAGGGCTTAGGTATGCGGCCAGGGGCTGAATCACCGCAGCAAATAATTGCCTACCATCAGCTGAGTCATTGCATGGGCCCAATTCCTTCTGTCCGCGAATTCTAATGGGTGCGAACCCCGATTAATGACCACACCATGTAGGTGGTGTCGGCAGGCAAATGTTGCAAGCAGTGACACCAATATAGAACACGATAATTCAAAGCCTGTAATTAGTAAATTGTGATCTTTGCCCCAAGGTGCCTTCCTCATGGCTGTGTACACAAAGGGCATGACACCGGAAGAGGTGGCCAACCTCACGTCTTCCATGGTGAGCTACAGCGACAAACTGCGTTGGAATGACCAGCAGTGGGCCAAGGTCGTCGTGGACAAGCACAGTACCGGTGGCGTGGGAGACAAGATCAGCCACATCATCGCCCCTGTGATCTCCGCCTGCGGTGGCAAAGTAAGGCAGCACTTTCTAGACGCATTGACACGATTGTTAATGCTTGGTGAAACCACTTCAACCGGTCTTGTAGTTGCACGTAGTCGTCAGAGGAATATTGGACAGGAGCGGCCAAACGTTTGGAACTTATTGAAGTCTATTTAACATCCTTTAGTCAGAATATTCAGCAATATACTAATTAGAATTGAGTCAGAACAGTATCGACAGGGAATGACTACAAGTTCTATGTTGTAAAGCCGGTCTAAGTTTTGCTGAAGGGAACACAACAAGAAAAGAACTCTTTCTGTCATTTTATGTATCCTCTGAGCATAGATTAATTTCTTAATGCTACAAAACTTGGTCATTTGATATAGCACATTCAAGGCATGTAAGCTTTAATGGAAGCCAAGTGGAAGAACGTAGGGAAAAAATTACCCAATTCTGGACTTGAGTGCCATATTAAAGCGGAACAGTGGATCGTATTATTTGTTAAAACATACATCTTTGTATCTGGACTCGTTTACTTCCTACAAGCACGATGTCATTCGGCATGGACGGTTACCGTAACACTACCCTACTGAGACTACATTTACAGGCAGACGTCTTTATTTAGACATACCTTCCCTAATTGCTAGGACTTTCGGGGACAGCATTTTCAATTTTCGTGGTGGTTCTCTTTACCATCGAGGTGTCCAACTACAGACAATGTGATTCAGCTATTACTATAGCCTATTCATCTACCTCCAGCAAAATGCTTGTGTTGTGGGTTCCCTGCATGTGGTCTTGAACCACGCTGGGGCCACTGAGTTAACCCTGGCTCGATTACTTTTCCCCGTTACCCGCGATGAAGAAAAAAACCGAACAAGCGTTTACCTTAGAGGTGAACCTAATTGGTGTCGTTGTGTCGTGTGTGTATTTATACCTCAGATGTGAGTCAAAGATGGGCTAGCATCGAGACCTAGGTGTGACAACAATCTAGGATAATCGTTCGCGCTAATGAGGGTGGAGTTGAGGATCCGCGTGGCTGGCGACAGGCTCCGAAAAGGGGGACCCTATGTCAGAGGCTGGAGTGATCGGATTAGCGACCGTGAATAAACACGATTTACAACACGTGTACGTTTAAAGGGATTTCTGTGTGAAGTTTTGATGTATACATGAATATTTCTTGCAAGAAGAAACCAATAACTTCTGAAATAAACTACTCCAAAATGATTCCACTCTGTAAAGTGTGTCAAATGGCCTCTTAACATTAAGGTTCCGATGATCAGTGGTCGCGGACTTGGGATCACTGGTGGCACAATCGATAAACTCGAATCGATTAAGGGCTACTCGGCGAATATTCCGGAGGAGAAACTGAAAAGTGTGCTAAATGAAGCGGGGTTTTTCATAATCGGACAGACCGAGCGCTTGGTTCCGGCTGATCGTCAGCTGTATAAGTATCGCGACGTAACCGGAACAGTGGCTTCCGTTCCTCTTATTACCGGTATGTTAACCCTACTTAAGCTGGAAAGAGCCGTGATGTTACTAAAATTGTAGAATACATAAGCGTTTTGGACTGTTCCATGCTTCAGCAACAACAAAAATAGCAGAAAGCAGAGTAAAGTAAAGTAGCAGTTTTGTGTCGTCCTTAATTGAGTTTTGGCTGACCTACTACCCGTTCCATTACAGCATCCATCCTGTCGAAAAAGTTGTGTGAGGGCCTTCGCGGTCTTGTAATGGACATCAAACTAGGCTCTGGAGCGCTTTTCCAAACTCTGGAAGAAGTGGAGGAATTGGCAAACAGCCTGGTAAGTTATTTATTTATCGGAAAATTTTGTTTGATGTTACAGAAGAAGGTGTTGCATGGCATAGACCACCTTAATAACGTAGAATATTGCTTCCATGACACTGTCGCAGTACTAGCGACGGATTAATTCAAAGATTATATCGACTAAAACAACGTTTGCCCTCTCTGCAATCGCCTTGAGCAGGCTTCACCAGCCCATGTAACCAATTTATGAAACAAAAACTTCACATTACGTTCAAGGAAGTATTTGGGGAGATTAAAATTGACGTGCAAACACTATTGCTTCCAGTTAGAGGCGACTTTCATATTGTCATGACATTTTGTAATTGTTCGCAGTCACTTAAGGTTGACAAGTCTGGCAGGTTACGAGAACAAATCGGTTACCGTTTCCTTCAGCTGTAGTGCCAGTTGATTTGGATATGTTTCAGTAGAAATTAATCCTCTTGCGTGGGAAAGGAAAAAAACGTATTTGCTGAAAGAAAGTGGCAATTTGCGCACAAAGCTGGTTCAATTCCAAATCCATGTCAATTTATTAGTTGACTACACGGGGAACTATTTACTTCGGACTAATGTAAAATGAAGGCTGTGTTGCTTAAAAAGACAACTAGGGGATTTCCTAAACAATAAGAGGTTACCTATGTTCCATTTTTACTTCAGGTCACTGTGGGACGAAAGCTTGATCTCAAAGTTGTTGCGGTAATATCCTTGATGGATGAGCCACTCGGAGACTGCATTGGCAATGCCCTCGAAATGGCAGAGGTCTTTACTATCCTCGCCGGTAAACCTCTTCAAGGTCGACTCGGTGACCTCACCCTCACCATCGGTAGGCAGACGTCTCCTTCTCCCAAAAGAGCCCGTCATCTCACAATTTGCTAATCTGACATTCGAACATTTGGATCATTCATAGCACACATCAGTCATATTTCCAAAGCTACTATGTTCCGATCTGAAGCAACGTTGAGTCGTAACTTTCACAGGCACATTTGAGATAAATCAAACATAGCCATTACGCAGCAGTTGAGACTATGTTAACGTTCCATGGAGTACATGATCTCTAATCTGGGGTAACTAAATTATGTACCAGTCAGTTAGGCGTAAAGAGTGCAATTCACAAACTGATTCCAGTGACTTTGGCCAAGCTGGGGGCATTCTTACTGTATGCTTAAGTCCTTCTTGAAATTAGATTCTTTATTTGCTCAGAGTGCGTAAGACACATCAGTCATTAATAGAGAGCGAGATGACCGTTCACAGTCTGGTTCAATTACCACGTTTGGAATACGATGGGGTCTTCAACATTAAGCAGGCGCAAATGTCTATTTCGTCGTTATTTTTGATGATGCTATTGATGCAACGCACGATGGCTGAAGCGACACTACTGTTGTCCAGGTCAGAGCATGCTGTCCGCGGCCAATCTAGTGCCCAACGAAACACGTGCTCGCAATGCGCTCACAGATGCCCTGCGCGATCGAAAGGCGCAAGCCGCGATGTGCAAGATGCTGGTGAGCCAGGGCGTGGACTCGGAGATGGCTGTGGCCCTCTGCTCACCGCCGCCTGAAGACTGCACCGACGACATCGATCACTACCTCCAGGTGATGGGCAAAATGGCCAACAAGAAGACGCCGATTACATCTCCAAGGGGCGGTAGGTTGACCTCAGGGGAGACGCTCCTGATGCGAGTTTTATGGCCCGTAATGTCCAAACGCCTCCTGCTTCATGCGCAGTTGCTGCCATCTTCATTACTAGAGTATTTACTTAAGCATTGAATGATTGCATAAATGCGTTACCCTTGATTCTGATTGAGCCAATCAAGAGCGTCATATCTTATTTTAAACTTCTAGAGAATCGTCTCAAGTTTGTGTCATTGTAAAAATAGTTAAAACTGAATTCTGGCTTTCAGGCTTCATTAGCCAAATTGACGCAGGTACAATTGCTCAAGTTGTCTGGCGTCTTGGTGCGGGACGCGACAAGCCCGACGACGAAATCGACCACACCGTCGGTATTCGTCTGCTGAAACACGTTGGTGACCCTGTCGAAGAAGGTAAGATTTTCTGTGTTTAAGGGCAACTTTGCGTTTTGAGCCTTCTACCAAGACTGTCCACGTAGCCACATTATAGATTATCGTTTAGCCGTCATGTGCTGCTAGAGTCCTCTTTCCCATCACAACGACAGTGTGTCGTGTTTACGTGCTGATTGGGTAATGAGCATGTGGCAAGCATTTACAAATAAAAAAAAGTTGTCTAAGGTTGTAGCAGAGCCTTTGTGCAGTCAAAGACCTTTTCAACCGTGTCGTCTATCATTGGTTTTGATAATCAACAATAGTTCAAATAAGTCGCACAATTTAGTGAGTCGAACAAGGGTTTTTGGCATAGATGTTGTCATACTCAGCTCCCTAAGTATTTGCTTATTTTATGTTCCTAAATCATGGTAGGTCAAAAGTAGTTAGTTTTTTGGTAAGGCATACATGTCGAAAACGATGCTATATTTTCCAAAACGGTGTAAATAAGGTGGGCCCTCTGCCTGTCCCCCAAGTGTGTATGGCTTGATCTGTTCTTGTCTGTCTGCCGAAGAACAGTGGTGGGTTTGCGAGTGTCCCGCAATGCGCTTTTGTCATCGGTGCTAACAAAACATGAGTTTGCATTGCCAAAACAAACTTGAATTCGGTTAAAGCGAATAGATCAAACTCACAATGTTAAGCCTACGGTGTCAACCGTTCAATAGCTAACCTCAAGTAGTATTTGGTTTACTGCTTTTGCTCTTCAATATCTGGTGATGGCAAGTTAAAGGGGTTGATTAAAACTAAACTAGCTTGATCAGACCAAGTCGAGCACAGTAAAATGACGTAATTATCTCTTCAAGCTGCGTCTTTGACTTGTCTACAAGCCCTTCGCTGACAGTGGATTTAAACTCGAACAGCGCTTACTAAAGTTGATTTCCAATTTGTATAAATGCAGTTATACGGTTTGAATTAACCTCTGGCTTGGTTATTCAAAAACTCGGGCGTATTCAGCTACAGTATAACTCTGTTCATGCAGGAAAACCCCACATTGATGTTTCACTTGAGAGTTTAATTGAGATATCATAAACATTATCATGGTTTTAATTATATGAAGTGTCTGTAATTGAGTAACTATCAAAAACAGGGCAAGGCCTAACTTGTTGAGGATAAAAAAAGTGTTGAAAGTGATTCATGTGTTTCACTAGCTCCCTTTTGAGCTTTACACGTCTTCCACGCTAATGACGCCTGTTTGCTCAGTCAGACTCACCGTTCCGCAGCAAATGTACGTGCGGTCGAAGTTTGGTCTCATGATGTGTGGCTGCATCGTGTTAGTGTTCTTCGTGAAGCCTCTAGATCAACCTGTTAGTACTTTGTGTGTCGTAGAATGCCATCACAAGGCTTGAAGACCACGTCAGGTCTGGGGTACGTGCCAGTGTACTCTGTGTTCTGTTTGGGCAATCATGGATGAAGCACCTTTACCATTGTATTCTTTAGGCGAAACATGGTGCATAGTATATCACAAGGAGGATACGTTGGACGCGAAACTCGGCATCATGACTCATTCGGCGGTAACTGTGCTCAACGAGGAGCCCGAAAGCCGAGGAGTCGTGGTGAAAGTGATTGGGTAATTTGGAGATGAATGTCTGGTGTCCAACCGCACCGCAGTCACCGTCTTTTAGCCTTTTAATGTCATGATAGCATCTTTTGAATATTACTGTGTAATAAGCATGGTCTTGTTGATTTGCTTTCCTCACGCAAAGCGTTGCCTGACTTATGGGGGTGTTGCACGCAATGATAACCGAGTGTGCGCTACGTCTAAAATGTCAAAAACTTAGTGTGAAATGCTTGCTTCATTGTTTTTGGAAATGAATACAATGGAAGTTAAAGAATGGATTAGATTATTCTAATCATTTAGATTAGTCAACTTATCTAGATACAAGACCAAATACATTTCGACGTTCGGGTAAATAGTTGTCGCTGGATCGAGTGGAGGGTTGTGGATTTACGACGTGAATAGGTACCCCCAAGGCAAGCAATAGCCCACGGATTTACCACAAAAGTCTAGTCCCAGACGCGAATTCACTTCCACTTAGCTAAAGTCCCTTTAAGTTGAAACACGCTGTTAATGGCTAACAGTAACACTACTTGTTGATTGAATTTCCTGCTGGTGTGACTCTCTCGACTCCTTTTCTAATTGAATTCTAGGTGGAATATTCAAAGTCGCTCGTTAACCAGTCTAAATTCATAATAACCATATCCGTTTTACTAAATCGGATCTCAGAATCCGCGATGATAGAATTTTCAATAAATTTTTAAACCAATGGAACTGGAAAGCTGTTGTCTGGTCTTGCGAGTATCCAATTAGCGTTTCATGTTTGTCAGGCTAAGCGTCCAGGCTTTCTTTTGTCTGCCGAATGAATCAGCGAACGCAAATGCCACACTTTAACTTATTGCAACACTTAAACTTACGGAGAGCATAAAGTCAAGCGACTTCTGGGGTATTAGATAAGTGTTAAAATTTTGTTTGGTTTCCAAGATACCCCAAGGCTGCGTTTGTGCCCACTCAAGTAGCCCACGTTTCCGAAACCTCGACAACGTGATTGTCCATGGCCACTGTTGATTAAAGCGTTATTATTCTGGAGAACGAAATGTCTCAGACTTATAAGGCCTCTGTGGTACTGAGGTACTACTTATATCATTATATCCACAGCGCAGGCCCAAACCTATAAAGGACCATCAAATTGTCAACCATTGAAGGAATAGCAACACGTGGTAAAAATGGTTGCAGAGACTTCAATTACTTAAAAGCAGGCTCAAATCACTTCAGAAACCCAAAAGGTTACATTTACACTATTTCCAACCAAAGAAAGATATGTCACCAACGTAAATCGATGTGCGCGTCAGCAAATTTCTCATTTTTGGCGGTTTAAGTAAAGGCGTGAACAGTTCCCTTAAGAGACAACTGATCGATTGATTTCGTAACCCAAAATTCCCAACTTTGCTTTTTTTTAATTCGAGAATATAGTGAGGGTTCCGTCGTCATGACACTGTGAAATCAGATAGGCAATATTTTTTCAACCGGTGGTCATAACAACGCATCATACTGTGAGTTAGCTACTTGTCAAAAACCAATACTTTGCGTGGAGAGCCGTGTGGGTAAACAGTTGTCGCCGGATCGAGTGGAGGCCTGTGGATTTAAGACTCGATAGGAGACCTCCGAGGCAAGCAAAGCCCATGGACTTACCACTGCGGCATCTCGCCCTGCAACGTTGAAGCCGTCTCAAGATAGTCTGTTTTGTAAATTGCTGCTACCAAATTGGGCTTCAAGAACGGCGTCATTTTCTAGACATGCACTTACGAGTGGGTGGCTGCGACTTTATTATATATTTAATATTGCTTAAATATCCGATAAATGATTCTGTGGCTGAAGTAAATGTCAATGACAAAAGTCATTCCTTTTATAGTTCAAGTAGAGCGTAATTTGACATAAATACATGGGGTCGATATAGGTTTACAGTCATATTCATTAATTACACAACTTCATCGGAGATTCAGCTCAAGTTTTTAGTTTGGCTAGTCACTTAATCGTACTTGTGTTAAATGCATTTTTGACCGAATGAACACGGTGTATTTATTCACTAATAGAACTCTATTGTCCTCTGGAATACCATTGTATTCAGCTACTTTGTCCACTAAATAATTATCAGTAACAAATTATTACAGGCAATTAATTATTGAAAAATTTTTAGTAATCTTTACAGGACCTGCTATTAAAAGCAGACACACTACTTTCAATAATATATCAGATTGTAACATTGGATTTAGAAATAGCTAAGTTGTGCGGAGAGCAATTGTCAAGTGAGGGGTAGAGAATAAACGTGTATCGATGACCATGATTTCACACTTAGATGGGTCAACTGGAGATAACAGGCAACTTTGATGATTCATACTTATGCACACAAGTTCCTGCATAACTCATTCCGTTCACAATCAAGCCTTTATAACCTGCATATCCATGCGTATGTTTGCCTGAACGCCTCTAATCTGGAGGCCCACTAAACAGCTGGGCTACCACCGTCTACAGTCCCATGTTTTTCTCAGAGTGCTTCATGTCATAACCCTGCCTTACCAGTTTTGACAATAATAGTAATGCAAAATCAGTGTGTTGCCTATAGGTTATGGATGTTCTAATATTAAAAAAACCGATGGATATACGTGCAACAACATTTACCAAAATAGTAACTTCTCAGAAAGAGAGTCACAGATACACCAAATATTTACTGATATCCAAAACAAATTACGCACCTTAAGATGTTGGTCTCTCAAAATTGGCAATAAGAGTCGAGAGTTAGCATTAAATAAAATTACTTTAGTTGCTATCAAAATAAGCCATCGTTAAAATAATTGAAGAATATTTGATATATTTTAGGTTAGGCATGGAAAGTAACATTAGGATTGCACGTGAACGCTTTAATTGAAAAAAGCCTGAATTATAATACCCACACTCTTGAGATACATTGTTTGCCACATTTATTATTAACGAATTCACGTCAAAAGTCAAAATTGTTCAAAATTTTGAGAAACATTTTTACATACACGCGTTTTGTTGTTCAAAATCTTGATTCTTTATTTCGTTTAAAGGTAAATTTATTTTAGAAATGACGTTCGGGAAAGGGGATCATTGGTCATTTCGACACATTACTACAGCACTACGGAGGTTTGGTAGACTGTTCTATAAACATTACTTTATAAGTGTGATTTTGAAGAAAGCAAAACAAAATTGCATCATGGGTGTCCTAATAACTCTAATCCCATTATTTTATTGATGAAAAGAAATGTGGGATTTATTTCATTTGATGGATGCCGATAAAAATAGTCGTTCTTATCGTTTATTTGTGTTTAAATTTTAAACTTTCACACACAGTAAAGTTTTAGTTCCTATGAAGGTTTCTCATAAACTAGTATTTTTGGTAAACACTTTATTTCTAATTTCTCCTTTGCACACCTGAATTTCGAAGACATGGCTAAATTGTTAGACAAGATCACGAGATTCTTTTCTGCATCTAATGCTGATAATACTGTTAACCAAAATTAATTAATCACAGTAATATAAAATTATTTTCCTCAGATTTTTTGAAGCAACACTGATTTGGAATGCAGCATTAACAACAATTATCGAACCTCGTTATAGGGGTGGCTGCTATTGGTCAATATTGACAACCAATACAGTTAGGGTTCGAGACTAGCATTTTGGTTTTCTCGGTGGTGACTTTTATTTATCTCTAGAAATGGTATGTTTCGTTTTACAATTTATATTTTAGCTTCCTATCACATTACTGAAAGCCTCTTGTAATATGCCAATGGTTTGTTTTATATTCATACTTTGATCGGGATGTAGCTGGTTGAGCTTAAGAGTGGTGAAACCTACAACGGACACTTAGTGGCATGTGATGACTGGATGAATATTCATCTTAAAGAGGTTATATGCACATCTCGAGTAATTGCTGGTGCAATTTATTTCAAACGATTCTGTAGGATGGTGACCGTTTCTGGAAAATGTCGGAATGTTTCATCCGTGGTAGTATAATAAAATATTTACGTATTCCCGACGATGTCATTGACAAAGTAAAGGAAGACATACAGGCCTCAAGAATGCGCAACAGAGAACTTGGTGGACGTGGAGGTAGTGGTGGTGGTGTAAACCGAAATAAATTTCGTGGTAAGTTTTCGGTTTTTGGTCTCAAGTACCAAGAAAAACATGCATAAAGTTGTTTGTTGCTTATAGTTTTACGAATTGCTCCACCAGGGAAAATTTTAAACGTGCAATAAATGCTAAAGGCTCACTATATCACTTCAATACAGTCGACACCAAGAGTGGTTCAAGTGTTATAAGCGATTCTGTCCATGGTGTTTGTTACTCAGTTGAGTCATTGGTGTTTTCCTAGGTTAGGCACTTTATCATAGTTCCACAAAGCTTTTGATCTCTATTTAGTCGCACTCTCAGAGTAAAACGATATTTCAAAATGCCTTTAGTGTGGCTCGATTGCTAGAAAGCCTTGCTTCAAGCAATCACCTGTTCACATTAGTTTACTCTAAGAGTCAAAAATAGTTACTCTCGAACTGTACCATGTTGAACAATCAAGAAAGAAAACTTTTGAATTTTGTAGGTGGTCGTGGTGGAGGTGGTCGTGGTGCCGGGAGATTTGCTGTAAATCGGGGAAAATAAATTTAACAAGTCATTTGTACAAATTTTGCACATATTGTCATCTGCCTGTGGAAAAGTCAACTGTAGTAAATTATCAACTGCAAACGCTGTCATTTCCTTGCGTGTGTCCAAAAACGCAATCCTCCCATGTGCAGTTTCCTACTGTTGTACACACTAAAGCTGTGGAAGTGCAGGCATTCCCAAAATGCATATTTTTGAATAAATGACAATTATTGCAAATTCGTCTTTTTATGCAAATCCCAAGCGTACCATGTGTTATCTTGTTTATCACATATTGAATTGCCCCACCCTAGGTATGCTAAATGCTTTCATATTTTCCGGTGCCATTAAGGACGTGGTTTCAAGCCAATTAAAACACCTTCGAGTGCTCCTTCCTGGATCGCATGTGCTTGTCAGTTGTCAATAAACAAATTGTGGCTACACAGGCGATATCGTGATAGATTACAACAAGGCAGAATGTTGTACTTATGAAACTTCCTGCTCATTACAATCATTTCCATTCCCACGTTATCCGTCACAAGCGTTCCACGTTGGTCGATGGCGTCAGTAACAGCATATTTGAATGTGTGCACGACGCTGATTCTAATTTTGTGTCTCTTCCGAGTTGATTTTGTGTTACAGGACTGTACATGAATAGTTTGGCCCATGCTTCATGAACTCGGCCCCTTTTAGCCGGATACGTCTGCAGCCTAATCCTCCCACAGAATGTCCGTTATCATTCTTGGGATGATGCCGTCCACTCCTTTAAGCTGTCTTTTAAGGTGCTTTCCTCACTTCTTATCATACTGGTTATAAACGAGTTGGGTGAGTGCCCGGCATATTTTAGTACTGTGAACTGAGAACGTAAACGGTTTAGATAGAAGGCGGCGACTGATAACCAAATCAAGTTCAGCCTTCAATGTCCGAAAAATTTGCCGAGATTTCGGCGCGAATCTTTACTCACATGGGGTTGATGTTCAAAGCAATCACGGACGACTACCAACGCCTGGTTATTGTACAGTGTGGCCTCAGATGGGGATTCGTGGTTTCGGATTTCATGCGATTCACCAGGCTGCTCAACCTGGTTTCTCAAGGCCTGGCCCTTCGACCTCTGGTGGCTTGGAAGCAGCCTCAAATCGCACTGATTTGAATCAACCGACATGTTCAAAGAGGACACCCTCCATGTCCGACTACTGTCAGACACCAGTCATCAGACACCATCAGCGATCTCCTGTCCAAAACAATCGGAAACTCAAGCCAGCTGAGTCTGATGACCGCCTTACAAATGAGCTTCCCGGTTATTGTCCGTCAAGTCTTCCTGCCTTTATCAATATCCGGTTTGATATGCCTCTGAAAATGCTATCAATGACTGTATCTAACTCTGGCGAACCCTAATTCTACGTTTCAAATGTAAAAGTGTAGCTCTTTGAAATCATTGCTTCGCATAGGCATGACTTCATCAGTGGGTAGGTTGTGTTAAATATGTGCAGTACTGCATTTGCGTTTAAGTAACTTAAAAAAACCGGCTTTGTGTTGGCAATCGGTTCAGTAAAAATTTGTATTCTGAGGACAAACATTGTGGGATATGTTTGAATTACTGCACGAAATTACTTTTCGAAATAGCATAAATTTAATCTACGCGAAGGCCCAGCTGAGGCACACACGTGGGAACAGTTTCGACTGCACTTCACGTTCACGTTGGAGATGACCCGTGCATCCATAGCTGAGCACCCACTCAGCGATTGACTTCACGTCTCGGTAATTTCTTTGCAGTTTGCTTTCGCAGCAGTTGGGTAGTCACGGTTAGAAGACACCCCCACTAGTTTCTCCTACGAGCGAGGTGCTTTGTTCATTAAAAATCGACTTATTTACATGGGATAAGCTTTGCACTTTTACCTGATAGCCATATTTTGTTGCAGTAAGCACGAAAGTTTGCCGTCAGTTTGACTCATCGCTCTTGAATTTGTGTGCATTCGGTGCATGAAGGACTCCCACGTTTAAAGGTTCATTAAGAAATCGGTTTTGGGATTTAATTATGATGTTGCCGGGCACCAGAAAAAATGCATATTTAGGAAATAAGCTGGAGCTCAATTGTCTGGTTGACGTTCGAGCGTTGTTTAAACGAGATTTTATTGATTTTTTTTGCTGAGTTAAACATCCACGCGTCAGTGGGTTACATCATCGCTTGAGAGGCAAACGCAAGGGGAGCGTTTTCTCTTTACACCTTGAAAGTTCTTGCCCACGGACCAAGGAGGAATGGAATGTGTGGATGGCGATTATGCTTATGAATATGTCTATGAAAGTGACTGTAGACCGGCACCAATTCACCAGCCAGATAATATAGCTATTCCCGATGGAAAGTTTTGTAACAATACGCTTTACCGTGCTGATTACAGGGGGCAAGAATGCTGCAGACCTGATGTTATTAAACAGCCGAACAATTTGGCCATTCCTGACGGTCCGTTTTGCAATAATACCCTGTACAGAGCCGATTACAGGGGTCAGGAATGCTGTAGGCCTGAAGCTATTAAGCAAGTGGACAACTTGGCAATTCCGGATGGCCAGTTCTGCAACAACACACAGTACCGAGCTGACTATAGAGGACAGGAATGCTGCAGACCCGACGTAATCAAACAGCCGGACAACCTGGCTATTCCTGACGGTCAATTTTGCAATAATACTCTTTACCGTGCTGATTACAGGGGACAGGAGTGTTGTAGACCCGACGTGATCAAACAGCCGGACAATTTGGCCATTCCTGACGGCCCATTTTGTAACAACACTCTATATAGGGCAGATTACCGTGGGCAAGAATGTTGTAGACCCGACGTAATCAAACAGCCGGACAACCTGGCTATTCCTGACGGCCAGTTTTGCAATAATACGCTATACCGAGCCGATTACAGAGGCCAGGAGTGCTGCAGACCCGACATTATCAAACAACCGGACAATTTGGCAATTCCTGATGGTCCATTTTGCAACAATACACTCTATCGTGCCGATTACCGTGGACAGGAGTGTTGTAGACCCGATGTCATCAAACAGCCTGATAATTTGGCCATTCCTGACGGTCCATTTTGCAACAATACGCTATATAGGGCGGACTATAGAGGACAGGAATGCTGCAGACCCGAAGTAATCAAACAGCCAGACAACTTGGCAATTCCGGACGGCCAGTTTTGCAATAATACTCTCTACCGGGCTGATTACAGGGGGCAGGAGTGTTGCAGACCTGATGTTATCAAACAGCCGGACAATTTGGCCATTCCTGACGGTCCATTTTGTAACAACACGCTATATAGAGCAGATTACCGTGGGCAGGAGTGTTGTAGACCCGAAGTAATCAAACAGCCTGACAACTTGGCAATTCCGGACGGCCAGTTTTGCAATAATACTCTCTACCGTGCTGATTACCGTGGGCAGGAATGCTGTCGGCCGGAATCCGTGAAGCAGCCAGACAACCTTGCCATTCCGGATGGTCAATTCTGTAATACCACACTTTATCGTGCCGATTACCGTGGACAAGAATGTTGCCGACCGGAGGCCATCAAGCAGGTGGACAATCTGGCCATTCCGGATGGCCCTTTCTGCAACACAACCCTTTACCGAGCTGACTATAGGGGCATCGATTGCACTCCGAGGCTTGTAAAAAGACTCAGGAAGATAGGGGCCAATCGGCCGAAGATGTGCGGCCAGTCTCTGAATATGTCAGCGGTTGCCAACACATGCAATTCAAATGCAACTTTAACTTTAAAACCCGGTCCTGAATTAACAACGGGATAACTTGCTGAAGGCTGCTATCCCTAGCACTGAATGGAACTGGCATCAAGACCACTCACTATCTTCAAATACCATATTTATTTCCATTGATCGGATTTTATTTTGATTCCCAGTTTTTTTGAAGAACATTAATGCTGATTTTTGAAGCCATAGTTTTCCTTCTGCTAATCTAGGCCTTTAATACTCGCGCCGATGCACCTCCTTTCCCACCGTATTTACAGCAACCGGCAAACCATCAACCCCAGAGCCAGTGAGCATTGGAGAGGGACCAGTTGGGGTCATCGTCGGCCTAATTTCAAGAATTGATTGCAACTGTCTTGCTACCTTTCGCGTAATTGCCAGATCCTGTGTAATCAGTGAAATACATTTAAGTCTGCTTGAATGCTAATTTGCTCTATATACAGGAATGCGCTTTTTCATGCCCAGTCGTTGCTGATTGTTAAATAGTTGTTGTTTCAAAATTTGAGCTAACACCGATACACCTCCAGATTTGACTACCTGCCTCTTCTTATTTTACCGTTGTGAACTGACAGCCTTTACAAAGAAGTTGACTAGTGAAGTCTAACGCCATCTCCTGGTTCAGGAGTCCATCAGAGGTTTTAAGGCTTTTGAAGCTAGACTCGATAGATAAGTTCTAGTGAATTTTTGCACCTGTTGTATTGACAACTACACGCGATTTCACTGGCTTTTCCAGTTAACTTGATCAGGCTTATCGTCTGATCTTTCCCGGTTAAAGTTCCATGTTTTCATCAATCCAAGATCTTTGCTACTTGTCGACACAGTTGTGTTCTGAGGCTCATTTAAAAGTGCTGTGTGATCACCCCCATCTACCTACTCACTATCGCCCATTAATTAACCTGTTAAGAAAAGATGCCTTCGATCCAAATAAACCTGACGCTCGTTAAACTTACTGCAATCTCTAAGCTCTGTTCTAACACTACTTAGGCAGAGACTAATGGAGGCTCACCAAGGGCATAACCACCTTAACTGCGCACTCGGATACTCATTTATCCTGTTTCGCCACACTTCTAGTACTTCAATCTAGCAACTGATTGTTATTGGTTCTTTTGACATGTGTAAGACTAGGCGTTGGGTAATTATTTTAGAAGAACACGCTCAGTTACAAGGTGTCTACTGATGCTGTTCCGGGTCGTGAATCAAGGTGTTTGGTCTTGTTATGTTTGGTGAAGAGTTTGGACTCTAGTGGAGGGGTAAAACTGGAATTCTTTGATTTACCTGTGAATGTCTTCACATTATCCTTTTGTGACCACATCTTGCGTGCAAGAATGCGACTGGACCAATACGTGAGTACATGCACAACAGATTAACCAGCGAAAGCTGTTTCGTTCGTCTCTAGAATCGCAGTCTGCACTCTCACAAACCACACAGAAGTGAACTTATTGGAACTTGTTCATTTACCCTGTTATTTGGTACAAGTAAGCTGCGCCATACTCGTAGGGCACACAGTGGACACTGTTGAAGCGGGTGACGTCTAGGTGGGGCTTCGTGCAGCAGACCTTGAACAGCACGTTTTTGAAATCAGGCTTTTCAGACTCTTCTAGTTGAAAATTTTCGGCTGTCCGAAAATTATCAGGATGTCAGAGTTTGGCATTGTTCAGGAAGATAGCAGTATCAGATTGAATGTTCCTTCACACATTGTTTGCACATCCACCACACCCTGACTGCCCATGCCAACTCTCGTACGATCGGTTCTCTTACAAAAGTTGGATTTCCAACCTCTAACCAGTTTGCACGTATCCTTGTCCACATAAACTTCCCACACAATTGGTTTATTTAAATTGCGTCACCTGTCAAAGGTTTGTTTCCAATGTAAAATAACAAACATAAGTGCTCGCACGACACCTGCTTGACTTAGTCGAGATGCATGACCATAGATTGCAGTGTAAAAGGTGGTCGAAAATGTGTCCAACAATTTTGCAAACATTAATTGATGGAAGTTAAACGATTACTGTGCTCTGATGCAGTGCCAATCAATGAAGTGCAGTGATTTTTCATAAATGGAAAGCGAGGGGTTAAAAGCTCTTGTCAGAGGGCACGTGAGCAGTTGCAATAAAAATTCTGCGAACTACTACTAATTTGAGAAATTAAAGTGGGGAATCAGGACATTTTTGGATGTTCCAGTTTATACTTAATGCCCATGGGCCCAAACAGGTAAAATAGCGCTAATTTTTTGGATAGCAGCCTTGAATTGCTATTTTCAGCATGGACAAAAGATGGCCGAAGAGCCTGCTAGAGAGTTCCAGTCATGATGAAACAATCTATTTTAAGTCTACTTCAATGGTATAAGTAAGTGGCATTTTGTGGGAACTTTAGAGAAGGTGTTAATCCAAATTTAGCCTGAGATGGAGGCAGTAAAATACTTGACCGGTCGAAATTTGAGCGAAAACTAAAAGAACCCTAATCCACGACCTGGTCATTTAGACACAATTTTGCGTTCATAATAATCGGGACACGCCAAGCAACCATGAATCCCTGACTAAAACAAGCAAAGATCAGCTGAGAAGCAGAAGGCAACGAAAGCATTGAGATCTGGCGCTTGTTGAGCAACCAGTCAGAGTAATTTATCATTGTGCAATGTTCGTTGAATGATACGTGAGGCGAAGTGAGGCATTTCACCATCAGTCCTGTTCACTGATGATTAATTAGAAGCTTTCCGAAATTTGAAACATTTTGAATGAGGTAGCATTACCAATAGGGTTGAAAATGGTCGAATTCTTGAAAATGCTCTCATCCACAAGGCTCCACTTGAGACAGAAAACAGCCAGCCTCAGACTGTTTAGGGAACTCACCATAATCCAAGTTATTGTCCTAGGGGGTTACTGCAGTTGACGTAGGCAACTGGTGAGCACGAGGCAGATCTTGTGGGATTCTTGTCTATCAATAGAGTGCCTAGAAGGCTTTTCTTTAAAGAAGTTGGTCTTTCATACGTCGTATTTCTTCATCACTTTGAACAAGACCGTCCATTCTTAGGACATGGAATTGCCCCGATCAGTGAATCGCTTTCTAGTCGGTGTGTCCTCACCTAGAATGAGGTACTTACTTCTGTCAGCAAAGAGTCTAAGAGCCTTGATTCAGGGGTTGAGACATGCCGAAGTATGTTTTGAAGGTGCTCCATTTACTACTGTCCGTTTTACCAGCAGAAGACCTCGGAGGATCATTTGGGATACGCTTTCTCCTGTAGGCTTGAGCAAGACTCACTTGAAAGTCTCTAAGAAACGTAACTTGTCAATTCGATTGTAAGTGGTAGGGTGATAAATAAAACAAGCCTCACAGCACGCTGATTACAGGATACTTGGAATTGATGCGAGGTGTCTGCTTGTTAAATATTTGAAGCTACTTCGGTTTCCTTTATTTTCAACTTTTCTTTTGGAACATTTCATGGATTTATGAAGCAGAAGCTTAACGAATTTGACAAAGTTAACGCCAAAATGAGAACGCGAATTTAAAATACGTATTGTATAAATCTTGAGATTGACGAAATGTTGTTTTCTGCGACAGCCATCAGGTCCATTCTAATAAATTAGATTTTGATAGATAAGTATAGAGGCCATGTGGCGGATTCAGTTAAACGTCGTTGCTCCGTTGGAGACTGCGTCTAAATTCTGCTCGGACTGGAGTTTCAGTGAATTTCTCTCAAACACACCGACTTGCCAGTACCAGTCACCTCAAACCTAGCCCAGGCCTTATCTCAAAGGGATTTCTTAAATCAGCCAGCAGAAGTTTCACTAAAATGTCTACCAGTGACCTGAATTAAAAGTAGGCTACGAAACCATCTGACCCACAGACTTCGATGATGCGGTTTTAGGAAATTGGGAGGTTACTCTCGTTGCCGACAAAGACGATGTAAGAAAAGGACAGGTGAACTTTACATAACGATGGTTACCACGATGCAGCACCATTACAGATTTGGGGACCAACTGTGCCCGAGACAAGTGCATTATTCGCCAGCAGATGAGGCCCAATTAACTGAAAAATACCAAGATGTACGCCGAGCTTTCCCAGAGGGGTTCCAGCCAGTGCTCTCTGGGGATCTGCGCTTTGGCAGTCGCAATACTAGCGTCCACGCAGAATGCTGTTTTCATGTAAAGCCATGCCACCAGTGATTCCTTTGAAATCCTGGTGTCGGAAATTGGGTTCCCGCGACATCAACTACGACTGTGCAGCCCTGTTATTGTGTCGGAAAGGGAATGCTTGTGTGACGTCCTGGGATCCTGTGATGTTGTTTATATGGTTGTTTCACATACGCGCAAATCACGGGTCCACGGGGATAAAATCTGAATAAACATTGGAAAATTAAACAAGACAGTTAATTTGCTATACTATGATAACATGACGCCTTTTGGTAAAGCGCTGTTTATACCGGTAGACCGTCCCTTTGAAGAAGAAAATTTTAAATACGGTAAAAGCTTGTAAATAAGGTAGACTGAAATGCTGTGGTTTAAAAGTTGAACTCTTGATTAACCAAATGTATATTTCCATCAGTGTATGACCACCAAGAGTAATTACACATTTTAAACTGATTCAGACCTTTGAACAACCCAAAATAACGAGCATGTCCTTGGTAAAGCGAATGAGAGGAAGGAGGCAGTAGCAAAGGGAGTTGAAATATCAGTTGTGCATTTAAAACCTTGTCAGTTTTTTTTTGTCTAGTCCCTTGATTGCCACAAGGCTATTCAGGATGAAAAACCTAACAAAGATTAAAGTCAGACATGACTAATTTCAAATTCATTCCCAAAGGGATTGGCACGGAGATGAGGAGTGAGCCGTCGTGTCCTGTGTTGATATTTAACGTTTTTCTAAGTTTTTCAAAAAAAATATCAGTTAACTAGGTGTCAGGAACTCACTAGTTTATACTTGATTTTCATGAGTTAGTCTGGTGCGAATCTTTCTTAGGAGTAAATTTTGCCTTTAATCTTTAATCGTCTTGTTGTACATGTAATTTTAAAATGGAACATACATTTGTACTAAATCAAGCGTTTCACCAGAATAGCTCAGCGCTGCCAAGTCGAAATAACTGGCATTTTGACACCTTGAGACACCACTTGGCAGGTTGTGGTCCTTAAGTACATTTCCAAGTAGTTCTTAGGCGACAGCAGTTATGAAATCAAATATAATTTAATTCATATTTAACCTTAAAAGATTAGCCTTGGTCACAAACTATCCAAGTTGCCAAACTGAAGGACATGTGTTAAGAATTCACGGAGTGTACGTGCTAACGTAGACGAAATAATACTAAGAGTAAGCTGCATAGCTAACGTTTAACCAGATTTTGAAACAATTTTGCTAAAATACTCGCCAAAGATTTTGCAAAATGCATGAGAAACATGCCTTGATTTATGTGAAAAATGCTTGGCAACAAGTCAACATAATAAACAGATTAGACAATACGGATTTTTATAATTGAAAAAGACTGTCATAGCATATTTAGCGTGCCCAGTAGTAGGATTTCCGCGTGCCTCTTCTCTACATGCGTTTAAAACTTTGATAAGCTGCATTCACTTGGTCTTAGAAACACTGTGAGGTAACTAATAATGCATTTAGACAACCGATGGTACCCTCTTATCTGGTAGTAGACTAGCCCAATTTCTAATTAATAGGCATGACTGCTATTAATCGGCATCATCTTAACATTGTCGCAAGTTGTATCTGTCTCAGTACCATGTTTTGAAGTTGCGTTCCCCAATTTCCTTGAGCCTAAGCACATCGCTTTGAATCGAATCTAAAAGCTGAGGGAGTGCACCTTTACAAAGCAATGCCATTAGTGTCTTAAATGGTGAAATACTACCGCATACTTTAGCAGTGGATTTACCTGGTTAAGGATCTTGAAGTTTCCCAGATTACCCTGAAGTGGAGCTTTTAATTGTTGAAAGTGGCACTCAGTGGACAGGCATGAAATTTTGTTAAAGCTGGAGCATTTCAGTCCTAGAAGCAGAACTAACTGGTAAAAGTATGTCCTCCAAATGTAACCCTTATAGCTTCGACAACTGTCGGTGTGATTACGCGTGACTTCCATGTTAGGGTGTGCCTGGGTACAGACGTTCGTGCCAAAATCGAGCCAGTTCAAGTGTCTAGTAAAAACGACGGACGAAAGCGAGCGAGCGGAGTCATTAGGGTTAGGGCTAGCCGCAAGTATTAACTCATTGGACTGCAAACAAACCCAGTTTAGGCAGATCAATGTAGCTAGTACACCACAGCAATGCCCATTTATGGAAATTCATGCTTACGCGGATTTACTTAAACGAAATGAAACCCAATTCTGGTAAAATTTCGAATTACAATTATATTACTGGGCATTACAAAATTCCCAGAGAGCTAACCGTAACGCTTAAATGGAAGGCTAAAATTAGTATAATCATGTCTGTCGAAACTATAACCCTGATTTAATAACCGTTTTGCTTGAATTTACTTTTAATGTTAGCCCGAGCCAGCAACAGGTGATCTTCCATGGCAAAACTTAGCATGGTCAGTAATGATTAAAAATGATGTTATTTTGGCTCTTTAACCTGATACTTACTTCTGTTATTTACGCTAAAATTTTGTTGGATTCACTAAAGAAATCCCAAACATTTATAACGAAAATTTGCGCTCTAGACTAACCAGATTACTTGTGAAACAAAAAAATTATTTTTGGTTCACTTTTTTGTGTCCGAGGTTGCATTTGTTACCACAGTGCCAACTCCAGTTGAATGTGACGCATTGAAAAAGCACCCTAGTCAAGTCAGTGTATCATTTCCACCCTAATTTGACTGTTCTGTAAAAAAAATGACTTGAACCTTGGGGCACTTGTACAGTCCTGGTTTCATTATGGCATCGTTTCCATTACTGCATGATTTTCTAGAACATCAAGACACCATTTAGTAAGCAGGGATTTCCCATTTTCAATGAGAGATGTGGGTGGTTAATTTTATCCTGGTGACAAGCCATATCGCTCTTCAGCGTTCATTTAATTTAAAAAAAGTAATAGTTAATTAGTGAAAAACAACAATTTTTTGCTTTTAATTCCTCGTAATTTCCTTGTAAGTAATTCATAAGTTTTAGTAAAAATCGATGATGTCTGTGCAAGATTTAGGATTGCTACTAAGATTTCTTGAATCACAGTCGATGCTGCATTTAGAATTACGAGTTCAGCTTTTTCTTTATTTTCGATGAAAGATTGCCACTTTAAGCTGTTGAGACTTGAGTGTTTATCATAACATCACCTTTGATCACTCAGATGGCGACGACAGGTCCCTGCAAAAGCCCTCGCCGCATCATCCCTCACGAATTTGCGCCTGTGTTTTGGCCGATTTCATCCAAGAAAGCCCAAAGTGGTTCAATGAGCTGTGGACTTTTCAAAGTTTGTGCAGAGAAAAATTTCACACATATTATCCAGAGCGATTCGACATTCTAGCGAACATTAGCATTTGGTGACCACCTGTTTGCGACTCATTAAGTCTCGAATTGAAAAGTTTGTGCCCATTTGAAGGCAACTTGTGCCCTGTCAAAGTGTACTTACTAATGAGAAACCATTTGCATAATCAAGGCGCACTAGCGTGCAATTGCTCACACATAAACTTAAATTCCACTAGATTGCATGCAGATTATTGCTGTTTTGGAGTGAGACCAATAGCATTCCTAAAGCGTGCTCTTTCAAGAAACTCTTGCACGCGCACTCAGCCCAGAGCACCAGTATGCAGGACACAGGATGACTGTTCAGTACAACCAAGACGTCCTAACCGGTGGCCCTGTAGTATTTCTCCGTCTTCTATTAAGGTTAGATTAACTTGGCTTTTAACCCAACTCATTCTGCGTAGATGGAAGGGCTGTGTTGTGAAGCTTATTTACGTAGACTTCATTGTCTTCATGCTTGCCTATGCGATAGTCAGCTGCGTCTACAGGTTCGCACTTACAGCGGAACAGCAGAAGAATTTCGAGAGTGTGGTGCTGTATGTGTTCGACTTTCAACAGATGATCCCAATCTCATTCATTCTGGGATTTTACGTGCAACTGGTGTTCTCGAGGTTTTGGCAGCACTTCAACTCAGTGCCGTGGGTCTTTACACCGACCCTGGCGGTGATTGGCGCCATCCAGGGCGAGGGCAGGGCAAGGACAATTAGGCGGACGTGCGTGCGCTACATGAACGCCAGCTTGATTATCGCCTCCTCGCGACTGCACGTCGCTGCAAAGAAACGGTTCCCAACTACGCAGCATCTTGTTCAGGCAGGTGGGTGAGAAGAACACAAAGCCCAACCTGACTTGGGTCTACCTGTTTTTATTTAAAAACCGTCACACTAAGACACAGTCTAAATCAAAACAAGTTGATTCATATGTCCACTGAACTTCTTGCGCGATAACTGGAGTTGATTTAATGCCAAGAAATGTGACCTTTTAAGTATCAGTTGACAAAACTCAATCCGACTGCACAAACAAATGAGGCGTCGTGAAGGTTGTTAATCTTTTTTCAGGCTTGAAAGCAGGCAAAGTAAAATGCGTTTACTTAGGCGTCAGATATGTAGTCTTAAAAATTTAATGCTTACATTTTGGTCAAAAAAATGGAAAGTGGATTAAACCACCAAAGCCCTATTGGAAGTGTTACTTATTCTGGTCATACGTAATTTGGCAATTAATCGTCAAACCAATTGACTTGCATTGAAGAACTATTTTTGGAGTAATAAAGTAGTAGAGGAAGGGTGCTTGGATGCTTAACTGATTTTTAATTGCGTCTTAGATAAGTAGTTTTTTGTGCGTTAAAAGTGGTTTGCTTCAATGGTGCGTTGAGTAACTTTACTAGACACCACGAAAATATGAAGCATTAGGTAAAAGCGGACCCACGGCGTATGTCATGTTTAGATGCTGGTGATTGATTGCTCCTTATGTCTTTTCTTTACATGAAATAGACTTTTCAAAGTGCAGGAGACTTGAGTGACAACGTTAGACAAGTAAAATTGTTTTTGCCTCCGGACTTGAAACACTGGCAAGGACTAACCCCTCAAATGCCTACTTTTAGTCAACGATTTAGGACACTCCAATGTGTGTTCCTGTTCAATCTAATTGTAACATCTCTGAACTCAAAAGTGCCCCAGCAAACAAATAATTCTCCAGACCAATAAAAGGAAATCTATAGATTGTGGAAGGAATTTCAAAATCTCCCCTTCACGTTTTCTTGATAAGTGGACTCTTTTTAAGCAAAAATTACCCATGCTGCTTTCGTGTTTTCTGGTTTGTCTCGCATGGATGTCAAGCGAATTTTCATTCTAGTTAGAAAGAGACAAATTACACTGAAGTTTCAACAAAAGATGAATTAATTTGCGAACCTTTACCAGTATGATTGATTGGAGCAGGTTTCACCATTTTCTTTTAACATCATGATCATTTTGCTTGGAAATCAAATTACCTGTCCTAATGATAAAGTTCTAAAAGCAGGAAAGAGAAAGAAAAATTCTCCTTTGATTCTGCTGCTTTTAATTATCGTGACTGTAAGAGTACATTACTTAGTAAATTCAAGGAACGTGCGTGACCGTTAAACGCTAGTTTAAACAATCGGATTACTTATTCTACGTCAGAGGACTTAATGGAGAAACCGTGATAAGTTAGCAATGCTTCAGTTAAGTATATTTTAGTCTCTGTTTGTGCTTTTATCTTTAAGTAAGCCCTACCTGGTTAGGAATCACATTGCATTGGCTGCTTCGGTTAATGGCTAGATATAAAATGCATTTAAGCCTGCTGTACACTTTCCTGAGCCACCGAGTTTTTCAAGAGCAGATTAGTGTATTGTTGTGTCGGCAAGTTAATTAAAACACATATCACCTTCATTCATTCTGCAGCGTTCGACCGCTCTTTTCGTAGCAACCTTTGCAGGTGATATCAAGCATGTGAGACTTGATCACTGAGCTGTTGAGTTATTTATTAAAGGTATACTAACTCAGCGCGAAGGCGATCTAATTGATTCAACAGATCCTGTTTCGGCTCAACCGTTTCTGCCGTTGGTGTGGACAACTGCAATTGCTATGCGGGCTGAGAAGGATGGACTCATTCAAAATCCTCATGCCTTGGTCAATCTCATTCAGGTAACTTTGATAATCAAGTACGAGGGAATCAAAGATTCAACTGGTACACTCTGACAATTCTACACCAGAAAATCTCACGACATGACCTCAATTCATAAATATTCTTTAGATGACTTGTTGAATAACAGTGGTCGTATTCCACGAGATAAATTTTTGAAAAAGGCTTCAACTTAGAAGAGGTAAAATTTATTTTGCATGAAGCAGCCGGCCCATATAGTCATTGCTTTAACTGGATTGTATTTAGGAGGTCCGTTTAATGGAGAATTCAGACACATAAAAACCCCACTATTTTCCACATTTATAAATGTTGGCGTATGGATAAAAATTTCCAACAAATAAATACGCATAAACGCTTCTGACTAAGTCGAGCACAAGCGAATATTACTGCTAACCAAACCTTTCCTCATGCAGCATAAGGAGAATATAAAGTGTCTCTGTAGCAATAGCAGATCTTGAGCTTGTCTTGTGCATAAGTGACATTAACAAGAATCGAATCGACTAGGATCTAATTAAGTAACGCCCTTTTTGATTAGGTGGTCAATAATTTCCGCGAATCTCTGCTTCGATTATTCCTAATGGACAAGGTTTGTGTTCCCCTGGTTTATACTCAGGTAAGGCCGTTTCAAATATGACATTTCTTATTGTATTTTTGTGCATCCTTAAGCAAAAAAACAACAAATTTAGGAACACTTGTTTTTGCTAGTTTCTAAATAATTTTCGCAATTGTTCCTTCTCGCCTTGTACCAACCGCGATTCTGGTTTATTTTGACAATTTTGCAAACACTCCATGCAAACAATATTAGCTTCGACAAAACTTGAAGGACACTCTGCACGAGATGCAGGTATCGTGCCTCAAAAGTTTTATTTGAGCACAAAATGAAATCAGCACAACAATCAGTCACCACGCTGACCTTGTAAAAGAAAAATCTACTCTTTGTTAGTTAATTTATAACGGAAGTTTAACCCTGTGGCGCTTCTGTCGTCACCTGCAACAGGAACCGGATTGGTTGAAGTAGTGTGTAGTCAATGTGGCGGTGAAGGTAAAACTTATTAGCTGTACGATGCCAACTGCCATCCGTGGGCAAAACGAACGCAGCTGTCGCATTTTATCACTTCTACTTGATTCTATTATTAAACAAGTTGCGAGATCGTAAAAGATGCCGGGAACCGATTTCTCGTTTCTCTGTAACATGCATTTTGAAACACGTATTTGCATGCAGCTGACCATGTAGAGTAGTCACAACATTTTAAAACAGAAAAAATGCAAACTGGTTAATTAAAAATCGACTTTCTTGAATGAAGGCAATAGCATTAGTCTTAAGACGCAATGCTTTATTAAGTAGAGTGACTCATTTCTTGCTTTAGGTGGTTACGTTGGCAGTTTACTCGTACTTCTTGTCGTCCATCATTGGTCGCCAATTTATTCTGGACTCTTCTGAGTATTCCAGTCCGTTCAGGAAAGACTACTACGTACCGTTTTACACCATTCTTGAATTCATTGTGTACATGGGCTGGCTAAAGGTAAGTCAATCTTGCAAATGCACAAAAGACTTTACTAAAGGAACAGTGAAATAAAGTGTCTGAATGACGTAGTAGACAAGAATTTTTTTACAGTAGACGAGTTTCCATCGTTGCACTAGTAAACAGTGAATTAATTATCCCGGATTACCGTGTAACTCAAATCATAGTCAAACTAGGAAATGAAGGCGTGAAAACCCAGAACAATATTGTTTAAATTATTTGCCTCTCTTTCATTGACTGCTAGTTGCGTTTTACAATTTAAGTTAACTTCTTGTCTGGAATTTTATTCACACGACTTACTAGGTTGTTTTTCGATTAAATTTCTATATAGACCTCGCACTTCTTGTTAAGTGCAAGTAGCAGTGTGGATTAATCCGGTTAAATGATTGTGCTCCACAGGAAACAAGTAGGTTCACTCAGGTCATCTGAGGACCGTGAACGAACTCCTTTGTCTGCATTGATCTGTTATTTGGAGCGGAATTTGCAAAAATGCAATGCTGCGGCAATAATTAGAGCCGTAAGATGAAGCAGTTTCACTTTCGAGTGTGGTGCGTTTGGCCAAAATTGGCGATCGCAGCTGGTATTTACCAAACAGCAACCGGGCCTTAATTTTGTGCGATTGACAATTAAGTTTGAAGGCAGTGGAAGCAAATACAATGGTTGCAGCTGGGTTGATGTGTTCCACGAGTTAATCTAGTACCGTAGTGTCCTGGGCACAATTTGTACAAATAAGCTGCAGTAATAATTAAAGACACTAGTTTATGGTAATCACATTCGGAATGAGTAATGGCGATACAAAGCGTTGTGATGTACAGATCCTTTGGGGTCGCCCCAGACGATTCACGTCAGGGGCTTTCCACAGCACAAACAAATGGAACACCTTTGATCTGGGGTATGTTCATTCCACACGTGCGTTGTCATGGTAACAGGAACGTTTTCCGTAGTGCACCCAGTGGGAAGTCGTACCCACAGAACGTGCCTTGGACCAGTGTGGAGGATAAATACAACTTATTTTTGTGTCCTAATTTAGTAATTTGTGGACTGCCTAAATGTAGCTACACACCCGTGGCTAGGTGACAAGGCCATAAGTATATATCTGGTACTTAAGGGCAGGACATAATCTCGCGTACGCGCCAATGATTTACCCATGGTATTCGAACTTTGCGACTAATCCATTAACTAAACTTTATTTTAAAAGTGCTTAGCGGACCCTTTGTCACGCTCCAAACATTCTACTTGCTAGTCATCATTGGTATTTAACCATACTACTGTCTGAAAGGCTACAACACACCGACCTCATTTTCAGGTTGCCGAGACCCTGGTCAATCCAATGGGTGAAGACGATGAGGACTTTGACATCAACAACATCATTGACTCCAACTGGAGTGTAAGCACACTGATAGCTTACTTAATTTCCTTTTTCTTCGCTTAATCTACTTGGACGCTTAGAGGTAAAGCGTTGCTGGACATAACCACACATGTGCACACGCATGCCTTGCACCTAGGTGCATTCACGTGAGAGATTTAGAGCACTGGGTTCGCGACCCGACGTATGTCGCATTACTTAGCTCGGCTAGTGCCTGCCCCGAAGCTCGTTTAACAGCTGGCTTCAGAAAATCGCAGCTAATCCCCGAACAAACTGGGCACCAACGCAGTCACTGCCTGACTGCTAGTGACTAGTCCACGGGCGTCGGTCACAAGGCTAGTTGTGCATTTGGGCTTCGCCAGAAGGGCAGAAGACCTCAACTGGAAATTAATCCTTTAATCTACGGCATGACTTGTCACAGAGTTACACCTGTGAATTGTCAGCACAAGCCTGTATTAGTAGTGATGAAGAAATGCAAGAATAGGGAATGCACTTATTGAATCACTCCGCGAAGAACCAATCACGGGAGCCTCTAAAACTAAGCCTAAGCAGATTAAGATGCTTAATACAATTCCTGCTTAAGGGAGACATTGATTACACGTTGATTGGTTGATTCAGAGGTGTAAAAATAACGTTCGAGGAAAGGGGTCCGTTTAACTTCAAAATTAAAACACTATCATGACCCGTGAAATAGCATTATTACATCATTGATTGCTATTTCAACTCCGCCTAATCTGCTTCATTTATTGACCACCAAAAGAAATCAGAGAGTAAAATACGTCGTTAATATTTCTTACGTTTAGAGATACATAGACAGATAATCTATGCCTAGCAGAGAGACGAAGGAGAACCGCCCATATCAACTTATTAAGAGGCTGCATAGTCGGGTGGGCAAAAAGCGGTGGCAAAACTCCAGTCCAGCGAAAGTCGATTGTGGCCCGTTCCTAACGGCACCACGGCAGAGCAAGCCCAGTGTAAACACTTTTTTACTGGCAGTGACTAATCACATTTGACTGCCCAAGTCGAGTCACATTTGCCACACGTAGAGGTGGCTGAGTGGCTCCAAATTTCCAGTGTAGTTTTTATAATAGAATGACATTTAGAGTGGAAGAATGACCTGATGGGCGGGATTTAATCAAAGAGTTCAAAACGCAGTCTTTTCGCTACCTCGCAGTATGGAATGCACATGGTGGACAAGAAGCACCATCCCACGGAATTAGTTCGTGACAAATTCTGGGACTCAAGCAACGTCATCCTACCCCACACTGCTGGCTCTAAGAAGCTTTTATCAACACAAATGACCGGCTCCATGTACAATCTTGAGTAAGTGTTGTTCAGGTCATAGCATAATTATGTAAACAGAATGGGGATAAGTCCATAGCTGGTAAATGGGAATTAGAATACAAGAGCAAATTTACGAAATAAAATTAAAAATTGCTTATGTGACGCCAGTAAGATATTTGTGATTCTGTTGTGGAAGAGAACCAAATTAAATTTGTGATTTGGACAAGATGTGCTGATGAGCTGTGTGTACTAAAGATTCGTTACTTAGCAATTCAAGAACCTTCTATTTTTAACTTAAAAGTCATTTTTAAGTAGCACATGAATTAAGCATTAGTTTCGTGTTACATTTCTTCGCCAAATTTCGAATCTGCCAATGAATTTAAAACATGTCTTTCCCCTTTATTGGTCAATACAAGGATAAAATTTTGCTTTACACCACTTTTAGCCCAACATGCATCTGCGGAGCGCAGAGCGAGACGTTTTATTTGGCGAAATTTTACCTGACAGGAACATTCCTTACAGTTTTGAAGCAATGATTAAAGTACCAATGAAATTGTAGGGACTAGTCCTGGCATTTGTGAAGTTCTAAGGCATCACTTAGCAAACTTTCAGTTAAAAGTGAATGGTTATAGAAATAACAGGGGATTTTCCAGTGCAAACCGCACAGTCGAAAGGTCAGCGTTTCTTTTGGATGAAGGCCAAGCTTTTAGCAAAAAGTGGCCTGAAGCAGCTTTCACCAGAGACTTTTTCTAACTTTCAACATATTACGCCGTCGCATTTAGCCAATGCCTAGAATCCACGAATAGGCCCAATTTAATGTGGTGAGAATCCTTGCTAATAAGAGCGATGAATACGAACGGAAAATCTGGTTGATGGTTGACTTGCAAACAACACGAAATGGTCAGCTAAAGATCACAATCAAAAACTAATGTAAAAATCTGGAATATTGGTATCGGATCATCTGGGTCATTTGTTGCGGAGACTAATAGAGCCTAGCAATCATGTCGAGGCCACTTTTATAGAATGGACCTCCAAGTACAATATAACGTTAAACAAACTATGCAGTACAACGAGCCCATCGTTTATTAAATTGCCCAACGCAGTTTCGCCTGCTTATGCAAATGTGCCATTTTAGGCTATAATTATGTCTCAGTGCTATGACTGATACAAGTTAGTGACAAATCGGTTTTGGAAGTACTAGTAACCGCACAAATCATTCCTGTTGGCTAAGCAATGAGAACTCTGGGGAGAGGAAGATGAAGTGTTTGAATGTGCGGTGACAGAGTTGGTGGACAAGAATCAACAGGATTCACTGTGGCTCTGCTTGAAGGACTCTGTCTTCCAACCGTAGATTGGGGAGCAGTGGACATCGACAGGATGCTGTGTAACCTGGGATTAGGTCAAGCTCTAAACTCTTGAAGCGACAGCACTGTTCTTGTCATGCACAATAACGATCGTGGCAGTCTGGTCATGTGATGGTAACAGCCTACTCTTGCCTGGTGCTTGGAGATGCCTCCATGTCTCAGGCGCCTTCCCTCACCCTACTCTTGACGTCGTAGCCATCTTTAAGTCTGATGACGCTGTCTAGATCATCGTATGCGGTTTACGGAAATCAGCGTATTGCAGAGACTTTTGACTTTGCTTGACATTTATGTCTGTGTAGAAATAAATTGAGTGTGAAAACATCATGCAGCTTTAATACTAATTAAAAAGTGTAGACCAGAAAAAGACATTTTGCAAGCTTTCTGAAACCATTTTTTAAATTAAGAAATAATCAAGTCGATTTTCAAAAGTGTGGCCAGTAAAAGTTCATTGATACCAGGCCGGTATAAACTCTTTATATGTTCCTGTTATATCCACAGTGTCAGATAAGTTTGTCTCTCCAACCCAGCCCTGACAGTCACGTATTTTGACTTACTAGAATAAGAACGGTATGCAATGAATGTGTGCAAAGCGTCAAGCCCACAATCATGCACCTTGTTGTGATACGTTTGTCAGGTCATCTCAACCACCTCGTGGTGGCTGCTTATGCAAGATTATAATAGACAATGTTACCATTAAAGTTTCAACAAGGTGAAATTACAGTAAAACGACCGGCACCCTCACAGTCTTTACATTGCCACGAAAATGGACAAGATACGGACCAGCAAAGTGCCCCCTGATTCCAGACCCAAGGAAACCTGCACTGAATTGAACTCTACCCTCATCATAAACCTATTATAGTATTCATTTCCTAAAGGTAGTAGCTCCGTTTTCTCTTTCCATCATTAAAGGCTCTGGATTGGTTAAGAATTGCATTTATACAATTTCGTGTCCCTGCAACAACTCTTTAAAAGTTAATTTAGTCGTTAGGCAGCCTTTTTTAAGATAAAAACGAAGATTTTGTTTATCACCTTCCAGCGTGGCAACTCTGGATGTTCGTGATGCACCATCCCGTTCTGCCAGCTACGCAAGTGACCATGGGGTGAGTTTGCGGTTCTTCTGTACGGCTAACATTTAATTCCTATCCCACCAATGATGCACAATTACGGACACTATCACCGATTATTCTCTTACGAATCTAACGTAGGGTTTAACTAGAAACGATTTGTTTCGCATCTAGTCTATTTTGTTCTCCTTCGTAACCTAAGGTCAATTAAAACGGGGTTCTCGCGTCAAAAAGTTAAGAAGAGTCAGAATGAGCTTACTGGGTTTTGCGGAGACAATATCAACCTGCAAAAGGATGTTTTATAGTCGCTAAGCGACTTTGAGATCCAAATTCAAAAGAATATGATTTCTTCCAATTTGAGGCACATCTGCACGATCGTGTTTCGCCATCTCGAAAGAGTTAATATAACTCTTGGTGCTTCAGAAACTTAAGACTTCGGTATCCTTAAGTGGAACAATTTCCACCTTGCAAACCGTGATTTGCCATCATTTTTAATGTTGACGTAATTAGTCGGTATGACTTGAATCGCGCATAAAGAAAAGGACTTAGTCTACTTAGTAGCCGGGAAAAATCATGCTCTTCCTATGTGATAGACCTCATTCTGCGGTGCATTATGGTAAAGAAGAAAACCTGGCCCCTGTTTTGTCAACTCGGTGTTAGTTGCATCCAAAGACCCTTACGGGTAAGCGAATTCCATAGTATGTAGTGGAAAAACTTCCAACGTTTCACGTCTTGTTAGTACATTATCACATGAAACAAAACTTCCCTTTACTGCAATTGTAAGTCATCAAAACCTTGATTTATTCTTCACGTAAATAAAACACATTCGATGAGGTTGTGCATTACCCGGCTTTAAACCTTTTACCAGGTGCTGGAATCAGAGTGGGACTCGAAGAAAGCCCGTGGTCATCGATTCACATTCTCTGACGACCTTGAAATGTCCACCCACCACAGGAGTTCTGTGGTGCCCCCCTCGACCCCCGGAGGGCGCAGTTCGGGCCCCCGTTCGCCGCTGCCCCACCAGGGCGCCTCCGAAACCGGGCTCCCCGCCCTCACAGAAGTTGACGAGGAAAACATCCTCGAAGCGAGAAGCGAGTCAACACCACCGAAAACCGAATAAAGACAGGCCCACGTGTCGGTGTAAACCTCTGCAGCCAGTGTTTTAATCATCGATAATTAACGATGCCTAGTTCCGACGCGTCAAAGTTTTGTAGCACTTATTTTCACTAAGATTTTTACGTAGTCTTACAAAACCAACTAGTGTATGAAGTCATTTCATTTAAATTGTTCAAAAGACACGGACTTTATTCTCGTATTAATGCATTACTCTGCTTCGTTGATAAAAGTAAACTTTCGTGATGTGTAATTTGGTTCGATTAAAGCACACATAATGGAATGGGAAATATTTCAAAATTTATGTTTTACGATGTTTTTGGGGATGCAGTGCAGGTATCATAATAAAAACAACTAGAGAAACAAGAAAAAACGTATTTAGTAGTGTAAAACTGCGTTCAATGAATCAGCCACCTAATCCGAAGACGGTTGGCCAAACCTGAAATCAGCAACTCATTTTGCGGTGGGCAGATTCTTCCTTGACTGGCTTAATGAAAAATGCATTGAATCCCAAGTGGCGGTTCCCATTGGTGAGTTGATAGAGCAGATTTAAGTTGACTGACTAAAATTGCGTCTAAATGAATGAAAGTCTATGTACTTCACTCAAACTTCATCTGAAATCATTGCCTCCTGGGCCTAAATGAACAACTATGTTGATTGTTTAATATATTCAACGAAATGCTAATTTTATTTGTCAAAACAGACAGGAAATAAAAGGCTCCGAACAAAGGCTGCCCCCTTAAGTGTCTGCGCCGTGGAGCATTTTGGCTAGTCGTCTGCAATTTCGAAAATTCTGCCTCGCGCAGTCTGCATGAGCTCCATTAAAAATTAATTGTCATAGGTTAGAGGTATAAAATTTTCTGGTTGCCTGAACACCCAAAACATGAGTTCTCAAGGCAAATCCTGGTGACATGACACGTGGATTTCAAAAGTCGAGGGATAATGAGGATGTAACAATTAAAGGAGCAATCTTAGACATTTACTTTTAAGTTAAAACTGATAATGCTTAGATTTTGACGGAGAAATCAGGGATTTTTAAATTCTAAGATCAGATTTAATAACACGAATACAGATTAGTTTACTAAGGTTAACACCTCACGGGGAAATACTTGAAATTCACAGAAGTGTACTATACAAATAACTAGGCTTTAATACCCATAGCGACCCTTATATTGAACGCAGAGCTGCTGGTGATTATATCGCTTGTCGAAACATCAAACTCAATAAAGTATTTTAAGAAAGCCTCATGAGTTGCTGTGATTGGAAAAATAAGTTATAAAAGGGGTATTATGGGTAAATTAGTTGGTTAACGAAACAATTAGGCAGCGGGACGGGAAATGTGTTTGTTTGCGTCAAAAGGCTAAACGTTGATGTCCGAATCGAGGTGTGGGAAACAGAAACACAAATGTTTGGCAGCATTTCGGTAAATGGCATCTGCAAGTAAATAAGCCAACCCTTACCCTCCCCCCTCCCAGGAGGAGTGCAAGCTAGTGGCGAAATTG